CAACTGTTATTAGCAAGTTGCTAATAGTCACTGATCCTATCACTAATAATGTATTTGTTGTATAATGAAATACAACCTAAGCAGTCAATGTTAAAGTTCCTATGTTTCATCATTCATGTTATTTTGAGTCTTCTTCGTGTTTGGAATGAAACTTATGTTACATATATGTTGATTAATAAAGATAAAATAGAAATCCACACAGTTATTAATAATTACTTTTGTTAGCACTTTTTCTATTCCGAAAAAATACTATTATCATATTATTCTAAAAATGAAACTGAGGTTTAAACTAATATTATGTTCAGACATATTCTCTAATTCTTAATAATTATTAAAAAATGTCTTCATACATATATTATTGAATAATAAGTTGAAATATTCAATTGTTTAACTACAATGATCGTCACTTCTGAAAACATCTCAGGTGAAATAAAATACACTCGAAAATGACCATAAATTGTCCCATATTGACGTGTTAAATAACTCAGTATTACAGTTCCATTTCTTCATCTACGATATGGAGAGATACTATTTTTTAGGAATTTCGTACTCGACGACGGGTACAATGGCACTTTAATGCCGGGACTCTCCGTAAAACGGGCATATTTTTCTTTATCGAACACAGAGGAATATTTTCTTAATTCTGATCTATGTCGTACATCAAAATATGATGGAACATGGAGAGATACTTAGCATAGATGACCGTTTCACACTACATACCGATTCTGTATACCTGACCTTTGGATACTATTTAATCTTAATCATGAATCTTAATACCTAAGTACACATTGCCATCCTACGCAATCAATCATGCTGCAGATAGTAGCTATGACTATTTATACCATAGTCATGATGATCTGTACCATAGTAACCTGATGACCACTTGCACCATATGTACAGTCATTTTTGCTGTATTTACGATTATTTTTGTCATATTTATAGTCATTTTTGAGCGTGGATGGGAGTGAATGAAAACAACTTACATTCAACACCAATACCCACATCCACACGCACATACCCACACCCTCTAGTTCTCTTTTGAAAGATATTAAGATTCAGAATATATTTACCGAAGCTTTTGACCAATTTTAGTTCATACCTTTTCACTATAAGAAGGTCTGAGCAATATCATGCAATTCATGTCATTAAAATCGTGTTGCTTTTGGTAATTAATCGTGATGACACGATAAGTATTGGCTTACAAAATTCATTAGATTCCTTTTATTTAGATTAATAGGAACTACAATTTCATCATTAAGTATAATTAAAGAGAAAATTATATTTTTCTATGTACAAAAGATGGGAAAGAAAAATTCCTCCCTCTGCTCATTTATGAGAGGCTCATGTGAATAAGGCAATGAACAATGTCGTATACAAAAAGCTTACTATGACCGCAACTATCATACTAGACTCCTATGAAAAACCCTTAGACGACCAATGAATCGTGATTTTGATCACACAGGAAACACGCAAATCGCTTCATTTTGCAGTAGAAATAAGTCACTTCCCATGAAGTTAAGAAGAAATATTTTCTCAAAAAACTTGGGCAGTCATTACTTGAATGCATTTACAAAAGAAGAAATTTTTCAATCATTGCTATTTTCACCAGTAGAAGTTCAAAAGATTTAGCTGGATAACTATCATGTGATTATTTTAACCCTATGGAGAAGAGTAATAGAAGAAATATTAAATATTCAAAATGGAAATACTGTATTCATTTCTTTTTAGAGAAAAAGAAACAACATCTGCTTAAATTGAAATGTATGAGTTAGGAACAGTAAATAAATAAATAAATAAATGTCTGCATTCTTTTGTTCCATTTTTTCTTGATGTGCATGACTTTATGTTGGGTGAAACATTCCTTCATAAATAGAAACAATATTTCGTTCGACTGATCCCCTATTGTTAACTGCTAGTCTTCAGTTCACATTTTATTGTTGCTGATTATCAAAAAATCATATCTAGATTTTGTAGAAGATATTTAATTAAATTGTTTTGAAGCCTTAACTTCTAAATGTAAAACTATTTAAACATTATATTTTATCGTTTTATCTAAGGCAATGTTTATCAAATAAATTACATTCACACAACCATAAGAACAAAAGAAAAAAGAAGATGAATATTGTTTATCTATTGTCATATGTCTAAAATATTAATATTGTTGATTAGGTTGATTTGATGAATGCATATAAGTATTTGTTGTCTAAAGAAAAAAAAAAAGTTCGTAATTATTCAAATAATTTAATAAACATATAAAAAAACCAAAGAACTTACATTACGTTGTGTCATTATATCCGTAACTTCACGATCTTCAGGTAACATTGATGGTGAAACAGGTTGACGCTGTTGTTGTTGGCTTGATTTTGTTATTTTACCTAATTTGACAAGAATATGAATAAGACGTCGAGCAGATACTGGTTCATTAACTACAATAAATAAAAAAAAAAGGAGAATTGAATAATAATTCTAAAAACAAAATATCTTACGATTGTATTCAAGATCTTTTGCAGCTGAACTTATATCATTATCGGTTAATATTATACCAAAACGTTGTAAAATTCCAGGTAATGTAGTGTATGGTACTCGACCTGATGGATCTATTCGATTAAATGTTTCTATAGGTTAAAAGACAAAAAAAAAAAAAGAAGAAACTTTCATTAATCTTTATAATGAATAATACACAAACCAGTAAGTTGACGAACCGTTAATTTTTCAACATTAGCTACACGTGTTTGTTCTTTCTAAAATATTAAACAAAAAATTATTCAATTTTATTTTAAATTAATTTTTGCATACAGATGTAACATTTTGTTCTTTTCCATTTCCAACATTATTTGTTGGATGAAACCGATGGTGATGATGATGCTGATGCTGATGATGATGATGACGATACTGTTCAACAACTGCTGTACCAGTTTGTTGTGGAATATTAGATGAATGAACTGGTAGATTGTTATGTTGACCCATATTAATACTAGGTGCTCGATTTTGTACACCTCTTTGTTGTTCAATATAAGTATTGCTACTACTTCTTACATTACGCAATGGTTCATTTGCCATATTAGGCAATGGATGATTCATAGGAAATGGTATTTGTGATTGATACATCGGACGAAGAGATGAAAATTTTTGTTGTTGTTGATTGGTATGAAATGTATGCATAGTTGGTGGAAGTGCCATGATATTAGTTACGGATTGAGTTGATGTTGGATAGTTATTCATTGAATGAAGATTTGGTTTACGATTTATTGGTGTTGATGGTAATAATGGATAAAGAGATGGTCTAAAATAATTCAATTGAAAAAGAATAGAGTTTGTTTTTTTTTCTATTGATTATTAACTTACTGTGGATGAAAGTTAATTGGAGTAGTTGGTCGTTGACGATAATAATACGGTTGTTGATATCGTGGATTTTGTTGTGGTACATATGGTACTGGCATATGTGAATTTGATCGTTGCTGTTGTTGTAATAGAGGATTGCTATAATATGGTGTTTGAAACCGTGGTTGTTGCCATTGATTTCCAGATTTATTAGCTTGCGGAACATAGGGCATTATCATTTTTAGACAATCACGATTGACTTTATCTCCTTGTTGGTTATTATTTAATGCCTTATGTTGACTATCACTTGAATGATTATGTTGATTTATAGGTTGTTTTTTTTGTGATGCTACAGAAATTTCACGTTCATTTGATGGTGTTCGATGATGATCAACTTTAGGATGATTATCATTTGTTATCAAAGTTGATGATATTGTTGCATGAACAATATTATGACCATTTGTTACTGATGTTGTTGGTGCAATACGTTCTCGTGATTGTGTACGACTACGTGATTGTTGTAAATTTTGTTCATTTTCAATTTCTCTATTTTGTTCCATATTACTCGAACCATCAGGAACAATTTGATTATTATCTTGATTTTTATTTGTTGTAGTTTTTACTGCTTTTTTTTCAACAAGAATAACACGTTCAACATTAGCTTCACATTTAACTTTAACTTTATATTTTCCTGTTCGATAAAGTTCTAATGCAGCTGGATAATCACGAAGAATGTGTTCAACTTCTTTAGAAGTTTTTATTGTTCGAGAACCTTCCATTGTACTTTGAACTAAGAATAGTAAAAAAAGAGATTTAATATGATAAACTAAAACTAAAAACCAACAACAAAAAATGAAAAAAAAAAACGAAATCTTTTACATTGTGCTTTTGTATAGGGACCACTTTGTATAGCTGTTGCAGTCTTATGTGTAATCAATGCTGGTACTCCATTGAGAGGAGTAGAAGATTTAGTAAAATTTGCAGCAGGCATATTCTACTTCAATCAAATGATTTATCTGAATAAATAAATATACTAGTGTGTAATAGAAAAAAAACATTCAAAAAACGATTTTCTTGTGAATAAATGTTATTATTTGTATTTCATATTGTTTCATTCATTATAACTTACTCTCTTAGTCAATATGATAGTTCAATAATTGCTCATGCATTGTTCAGCTATAGTCAACTTGAACTGTCTTTCATCGTCTGATTAAAGCTTTGGTTACGCATTGATTGAACTGAACAAAAAAAAAGACCGAAAGAGCGCAATAATGATGAGAAGAACGTATAGATATAAACGTGACACGTTCATATAATCGAACGGTAAAAAAAAAGAAGTGAGTTGTCCGATTGAATCAAACAACAAAACGCAATCGGTTTTTTTTTTATACATATGTATTTCATCATGGCGTTAGACGGTCAGGCGTTACACTCGAATGCATTCGATAATAGGTATAAAGAAAAGTCTTTCTTTCATCCTTTTGATGAAACAAATATGATAGATCGTTTTTTCGAAACAGATGAATATATATATATATATATATGTATATATTTATACTTATCATTTGATACGTCCGATGTGTCATCAGATAAAAGTGATTGTTTAATTTTAGTTAAAAAAAAAGAGACAACGTATTTTTTTTTCTTGATTATAACAAAATATTTAACAAAAAACTAATCTATAAATCAATTTTAACAATACGACGAACAAGTTCATTAAGATCATATCGAGTTTTATTTTTTGTTGTTGTTGTTGTTGTTGTTGCTGCAGTCATATCGGTTGTTTCTTCATGTTTAATTAAATCTGGTGTTAATACCATTGCACAATGAGAAAACCATTGATGTGGTTTTACGAGTTGACATCCTTCATATTTTAACTAAATTTTAAATAAATCAAAAAAATTTCTAATTAAGAGAATAAAAAAGAAAAAAAGACAAGTTTACATGAATAGCTAAACCTCGATCAGATGTAACAATAATTGTACGTTTATTTTTTTGTTGATTTTCACTTCGTCGAACAATATCAATGAGCATATCATCAGTTGTTTTATACATTGGATGTGCACTACTAACTTTAATACTCTGAATTTGTTCTAATTGATGTGTTAAATCAAAAATAAGTTCAATATTTGGTATATGCATTTGTTCATTCCATGCAGCAGCTAATTCTGCAATAGCTCGTTCAGCTTTTTTACTTGCTCGATTTAAACAAAGTCGACGTATGCAATCAATAACAAACATCATATTATTTCCGTCTAAATAAACTTGTTGAATGTTATCTGGCCAATCATCTCGATTATTTATGGTTAAATAAGCATCATGAATTTCGGCAAGTACAATACGTTGCTAAAACAATGATATAATTATTGAATTTTTTTTTTGTTTTAATATGTCTTTTTCTACCTGTGTTCGTTTTTCATATTGTTGTTCACGTTGTTCTCGATCTTTTTCAATACGAGCTTTAGTCATTTCAATAGATTGATTACATTCATGAAATAAAGCTAAAATTTTCACTGGATTACCATATATACCTGCTGAACGTAATTGTCTGAGATTATCAATATCATCAGCATTTATTTCATGTCGTTTCTTTGTCGATGATAGGTTTTCATGATTTGCTTCACTTGTATTAATTGATGATTTAATCTGATGTTTTTGTTCATTTCTTTCAGCAAAAAGTTGTTTAACAATATCAACTTGTCCATTAGCTTTTTCTAACAATTCTAATAAAAGTCGTTTATTTTTTATTTTTATACCATCAGTTTCAAGTTGCGTAATTTGACTTGAATATTTAGTATCAAGTTCAGCAATGTGATGTTTTTTTTCTTCACGATTTTTTGTCATTTCCAATATCTATTATAAATATGTATGTGTATTTTATTTACATCCATTTATGAGTGAATTACAATTTCTTGGTACGAAAAATTAAAAGTAGATCAAAACAATTTCGGACGAGAGAACTTTTTCAACTGATCAATTGCTTTCTTACGCAAAGCTAATGGATTGTAGGCTATCGAATATGACCACGAGAAATTTTCTTAGGTTTTTACTTGCTGGTTTTCTAGGAAACCTGCGTTTCAGATTAACAAAAATTTTGTCAAAATCGTTTTGGACCTATTCAGGTTATATAGCATATCGATTCACCAGCTGTCTGTGAAAAAGCGATCGATTAGTTTGAAAAAGTTCGCTCTATACCTATGTTACACAGCGAAAAGCTTCTCAATACTTCCTTACATATTCGCCAAGATACAACTTGCTTACAGTGGAAGCATAACATAAGAAGCGTTATTTAATTGGGAAAACTGATTATAGCTTGCTGAAATTCTATGTAATAAAACTACTTATTAATACAGAGCTGACGTTTGCAATGCAAGTAGAATCATTTTCCAAAATAGAACAACTTCAATGATATAAAACATAACCCATCTTGATTCACTATTCCTGGAAATATCACATTTAAAAAAAAAATGTCATTCTACAGATTGTAGTAGGCTGCTTAAACTTTATATGGTGAAACCACTTTAATTCGGAATAAAAATGGGACGAATTTTCACAATGGAATAGATTCAATCGTATAAAATATTATCCATTTTGGCTCACTTTCAGCTGAAATAATACATAAAAAATCTTGTTCTATATTTTACGTATAATGCTAATTTCTCAAGAACAATAAGTAATACATGACTAATTTTTTAACTGGTAATACAATCTTAAGATCTATATTCATCTGTGTCACGCAAAGACCGAGTCTTCTGCTTGATTTTTTTATATCTCACTGCATGAATATTTTTAAACTCGTAGAAAAATGTTAGATTTCAGTTGAAATCACGCTTCCTGAAAAGTGTGAGCGCGCTCATATCACCTGTATCAACCAAACCAGTTGTTTTCGCTTATTTTTCGAGTTTGATTATTTATTAAAGATAGGTAGAGATAAGCTACAAACATTTTTGGAGATGTCACGAGGTCACCAAGATAGGAAGGAGGAGAAAGATCATCTCACATTCGGAACACTTCTATACACATTCTACATTCTCTGACAGCAGGATTACCGTAATTCAAGTTGTTGATAATGATTGTGAATGTACAACGTGTATGTCGGTTATTTCCAACTTAAATATTGCGCCACAAAAATAGCCATTGGTTAGAAAACTTAACCAATAGGCAAAAATGTCGCGCTATCTGACACAACAATATACTGTGGTATAATAAAATCAACTTTATTTTGAGTACCACCAATTGATGTATTCAAGAGAAAAAATGTTAATTTATTAGAAAAAATTATAAAAGAACTTGACAAGAAAGGAATAAACTGCTCGAATACACAACAACATATTCAAGATATCGTTCAACAAAGTGAGTAGAAGCCGAAATATTTGAAAAAGATCGCGTTGTTTTTTACTGAATTCTTTGACTTGTTCACAAACGAAGAAACTTAAAAAATAATATCGTTTATTACGAAAATGAAAAAGTGTCCATCATACAGTATTCTAGACAAATAGACATGGGAACAAAAAGAGAGAAATTGGAAAGCTATATGATTCGACAGAACATTTCAAGCTCTACAAAAATGAACTATTCGTTATCTTGTTCTTTCTTATTTCTATTCTCCGAAAATATCCTTGTCCTAGTGTATCTTGCTATAAAAATCTGATTTTTTTTTATAGTGTGAGCCTTATAAATCAGCAACGGTTTGAACTATAGAGCTGAAATTTACTGCAGATATGTGATGTTCAGAAACCAATAATATATAAAAACAATTGTTCAAATCGATTAACGAGAACAAAAGTTATTAGTCAAATAGAGCTAAAATCTTAATCGTATCAAAAAATTACAATTCACTCGTATCTTTAAACTCACTTTATTAACATCACCGTGATATTTTTCGAGTTGTAGAAGTACGCATGGACTATGAATATTGATACCAGCTGTTCTTAATTCTGCTAATTGAGTAGAATATTTTGTTTTGATTTCTTCTTGTTGTTGATGTTGAACTACACTCGAATCAATTTCACTCTCATTGTGTTTTGCTTCATGTTTTTGTAAAAATTTTCGAACATGTTCAACATCACCACCAAACCGATCCATAATTCTAAGTAAACGTGTACGTTTTATTGATTTAGATGCTGGATATTCTTGTTGTAATGCTGTTAATGCAGTACTAAAACGAGTTTCGAGTGAGTCGAGTTTTTTCACACGATGTTCTTCTTGAATAAGATATGTACAAACCTAATTAAAGTAGAGAAATTTTAAAAATTTATTTTATTTACAAAATACAAAAAAATTGTTTTTGTTTCATGTCAGTAGATATACATATATATCGACAACCTCCATTCACCCGCATAGGAGGTGTTAGCGGGCTATGAATACGTATAAAAATTTAATAAACCATACCTTATCAACATCACCATTATGTTGTTGTAAGAGATGTAATAGGTTTTGTGTTGATACGTGTGGATAACGTTCTTGGAGTAATTCTAATTGCTCGGCATACTGTTGTTGGCTGAATGCCATTTTGATGGTTTAAAACCTTATATTGTGAACGAAATGTATAAGATGAAGGAAAAAACACAAGTCAACACACTTTTTTTATAGAGATTGATGAGTCATTTAAAAGAGAAGTTGCGCAATAGCAGTGACGAAATAACCATTTTAGTATTTATTGAATAAGTCATGCATGGTTATATTTTTTCGGGTGTAAAAAAAAACTCATACTCGTTTTTGGTTGTTACTTAGCATCTGATTCATATATTGTGTAAGAGTACGATGAAATATAGAGAAACACTATATCTGATCGAATGATAGTTAAACTTGTTTTGACACTGTTAAATGTTATCTGTTTTATCAATTGAGGCCGGACGACTCAAATTCACATCCTGATGTTTTGGGACTTGAATAACTTTAAAAAGCGTAATCTGTTGATTATTTATTGAGATAATTTCCTGAATATTTGCGTTTAGAGTATTTATGCAGTTAAGATTATCTATATTTAGTGATGATTGTTTGTTGTTCCTTAATATTTCTGGGAATCCGCCTACGTTAGAATATGAGCCAGTTCGATTACAAATCTCGAGAAAGAATCGACATTCTCAAGAAGATATCTCGTGTTGTAAAAATTGTTCAAGTATGACATCTTTAAGAAAGATCCTAATCGAACGACCACTTTTGATGAATAATATAGAGTACAATTTGTATATAAACTGAGAAAAAAACGTCAATCTTCGTTTGGCTACTTATCAATTTGAGGTGATTCGAGAAATTATTGGAAAATATGGTAGTCAGGTCCGAAGTTCAATTGGTCGGCCACCATCTGAAAGTCCACTTCGACTCACAACACGATATTTTCCTTTGCACATTGCATCAAAAACAACTCAAGTAAATCCAAGAAGAAAATGTTAGGTCTATACTAATACTATGAGAAGAGTCAAGTCAAGAAGAGATATTTCGTATGAATGTATTGAATGTAATGTTGGGGCTATATATAATAGATTGTTTTAAAGACTATCACATTCTAAAAGCATTTTAAGTCATGTATCTCGTGATATTTTTTGCAAAATAATCGTTATTTTGAGATTACAAAAACGTTCACTATATAAAAATAACCTCGGATTCAAAGGGTTAATGCATTTCGACATTGATGCGTTAATGGTTGATGATGACTTACCAGCGAGATCGAAATGTAATAAAATATCACCTCATAATGGATTCTACTCATGTACATACTGTTTATTTCAAGATGTATCTTGTGCTCGATATCGTCATGTCTTATATATCGATTTCAAACAAATATCTCCACCACCACGGACAAAAGAACATATTGCTTATTATGTTGAACAAATTAAACAATCAAATACTAAAGGTTTTCGTACGTACGGTGTATATGGGCCGTCACCATTACGTCAGTTGATATGCATTCCAGTCCAATATACACATTGGATTATTTTCACCTTGTCTTAGAGATACAACTTGATTTTTTACTTTCACAATGGAAACAAACAATTTTAAAGTCGGTACGTATCGAAGTAAATAATTTTTTGCTTAAAATCAGTTATCCTCATTCCATTAATTGTCGATCATATGACTTTGTTTCATTACATAAATGGAAAGCATCTCAGCTGCGTATCTTTCTATTATATATAGCTCTATCACTAACTATTCGTTTTCTACTTTCGAATTATCAATCACTATTTTCTTTACTCTTTATTTACGTACGAACGTTATGCTTTTTTCATTCACATGGAGATGTACTCGATATGCAACTTTACGTCGATGAATATCTTTCTAAATTTTCTACAGTCTATAATCGATGTAATGAACTGTATGCAGTACATGCCTTATTTCATCTTACTGAACAATGCTTTTCTTTTGGGAGCTTAGCCTATCATTCTATGTTTGCGCTCGAGAGTGTACTACAGCATTTTGCAAAACTAGCGCATGGTACAATATCTCGAGATGCTCAGATAGCGTATTGGCATTGCATAAATCATCAGACTGATACATTAAATGCGTCAGCATCTCCAGAAGTATTTGATAAAAATTTGTTTCTAAAAGATGAATTGATTGATTCAAAAATATGGACGGAATATGAAAAGGTTTTGGGTAGACTTTTTCGAGAAATATTTCGTGAGGAAGTGCCTACCAATTTCGGTATTTTTTCTCGTTTTCAATCAAGTTTTCATTTGTATCACTCTCTTGCGTATTCAAAAAGACAATCTACAGCTAGTTATCGCGTTTCTGTCGAGAACAAAAGATGTTTTTATTCTTAATGTTTTAGAGAAATTATTTTTTTTTTGAATTCCAATGTCAAATAGACTTTTTCTTTAAATAAATGCTATGTGTTGGTAAATCATTTTCTTCTTTCATTGAGAAAACCTGTATCGTGTTCTTTATTTCTTTTCTGAAGAAACTTTTTTGTGTACTGAAATTGAACACGAGTTTGAGCATAATTGAAACTAGACGTATCTTGTTCATGCTGTTTCTTCCATTTTTATCATATACCTCTTATTATCTCTTTGCATTACAGATGTATCTTGGATATACCTCATCCATCAATTTAATTCAAAATTCAAGCAACATGCGAACATCTCGAGCAGACAAACATATTGAACCCCATGTAAGTTGGAATAATCAGGCACAAGAAATGTTTGATAATGTCGATCAATATGAATTTGACAGAAAGTACTGTGTATTTATCATAGCTAAGACATTTTTATTAGTTTAAGATGGTGGTACATCCAAAAACTATTATACACCACAGTTACAACGTCGTCACAACCATTTACACAACCTACAACACCTGTTTTCAAGCTTCAAAGTATACTTTAACTTTATACGGTTTGAAAATAATTGATTGCATGCTGTAGGTTCTACCGTGGCAAATGTTTTACTAAAACAAAAAATAGAAATCTTAACGAAGTTTTGGTGGTAGAAAACGTTGATGGTAGCAAGGAGAACAATAACTTTCGATTTGAATTGATTAAAAAATAATATGAGAGAACTTAGAAATGAACAAAATACGATGATGAAGCTTTAAGGTAAAATTTAGAAAGCTCAATTGAAAATATTAATTTGTCAAATGCTTGTAAGTTTTTTTCTTTATGATTAAAAATTGCTTTTCTTTAGTAACCAATTTGTTTTTTATAATTCAATTTTATCCCTAAGAAAGCACAATATTCTATTTTCATTTTCTACTCTAAATTCTTTTTTCTCTTTCTTTAGAATGTAGCAACAATGCCTACTACGGATTTTCAATCGATCGTAATATTTTTATACATTATAATTAAATCTTATATTTTACTTTAGTAGTAGATGTTTAGTAGAATGAATTTGATCGACAAAGAGTCACCTATTGAATCAACCGCTAAAAATTTGCTCAAGGATTCAAAAACTGTATTCATTCGATGAAATTCGACATGGTATTACAGACGATAAACGATTGGGAAAGATCCAAAGTATTATTTCCATTAAAGAAACCTATTTTAAAGACAAACCTATCGAATTTGAGATATTCTAGCATAAACAAGGGAAAAAAATAATCAATGGACAGAAAAGAGCCTTTTATAGTCGTCAAAAGCAAAAAGAATATGTATTTCTAGTTTTCTCTGAAGCACACCATTAGCCATTTGTGTCAGATTAAAACTACTTTTTCAAGAACATGAAAAAACTAGTTAAATGTTCATGATGATTTTATCTTTGTGTCAGATGTACGTGCCATTTTTTGATGAATTGTTCATTTTAGTTGTCTGGATTTTGCTGATACACGTATATTTATTTTGATATATTAGTCGTTTTGCCTTTTTTCTGTTACATTTCATATTTTTTTTACTTGCTTATTGATCTTCTTTTGTTGTGTGCAGATTACTTTGATGTTATCTTTTGAAAACTTATGATAAATTATATTTCTTTTGTAACTTATTACGGTAATAAAAAAAGTTAGAGAAAAAAATTTCTGAATTTGTATTTCAAGTACATATATATACTGGAGCATTGAAAAATGCATTGATACGGGGAAAATGGACCAATGTTAATTCGCTCGACTGTACTGAGACTACACAATACGTTACGCCGTGTAAGTGTGGCGGCATGATTTGCACACGTTGCATTTCGTTACATTCCTCATGCGTATGGCACGAAATGTGCAAACAATGTATGACATATAGCGACACGCATAGATTGGCTATCCGATATTTATTATATGATAAATATACGAGCATATGCCCTCAAGAAAAAACACAAACAATGCAAAGAACCGTTTTATTATCTAACGGTCGTTGTGACACAGTTATTCTACTTTCCTTTGTATTAAATTAATAGAAAAATTTGTTCGAAAAAGTAATTATACTCTTTCTCATAGAAATTTTCATAGAACTAATTAATGTATTATGTTTATAAAAGCCAATTGAGAAAACGAAATGATATTTTATGGAAAACATCAAGATTTCGTACAAAACCTATGAAAGTTTTACACTTGACTTTAGTTCATGTAATTCATACTAATTGAAAAGGGCGTGTTCCCTAGACTGAAAGGATAGGATCGAGGAACAGAAACTAATCTGTATCTGTTTGTCTATAATATAGTTACTATTTGGTAGCTATAGTATGAATGACTGCGTAGCATGACAAAACAGGATACCTATGCATTAGGATTCAAATTAACCGAGAAGTAATATTTCTACAGGAAGAATACGAAAGCCGTATATACTGTGAAACAATTTTATGCGCTCGGTATTTCATCCCATAGAATCGTTTCATAGTTTATACGAATTTTATATTCTTTCTGCTGAGATATTACTTCTCGGTTAATTTGAATACTAATACACAGGTAGCCTTTTTTTAAATCTTATACGATCATTCGTATCATAGCTATCAGATAGTCATTTGTACCATAGATACAATATGATAACTATGTTACAGATAGACAGGCACAGATGAAACGTGTTTCTAGATCCTATTCTTTTAAACATAAAAATAAAGTTTTATATTATGCTAAAGTTACTCTTGTAAAACGAGTTGCT